AAAATCAGTCTCCAATCTTGGATTTTATTCTTTTCAGTTTTCATAGTGTAATTGCTTCTAAGAGGGGACCTTGGAGTCAGACTGCCAAGACAGGAAACCAGATTCCCTGCTTCATATAACTATGATCTGAGACTCTATTTTACAACTCCCTGCCGCAGTATAATCACCTATAAAAATCAGGTGATATGCCAGGCACGGTAGCTCACACCTGTAATCCCAGCACTTTGGGAGGCCAAGGCAGGAGAATCACCTGAGATCAGGAGTTTAAGATCAGCATGGCCAACATAGTGAAACCCTGTCTCCACTAAAAATACAAAAAATTAGCCAGGTATTGTGGTGTGTGCCTATTAATTCCAGCTACTTGAGTTGCTACAGCAGGATAATCATTTGAAGCCAGGAAGCAGAGTTGTAGTTAGTCAAGATCATGCCACTGCACTCCAGCCTGGGAGACAGACTGAGACTCCATCTCAAAAAGTACAACCAAAAAAAAAAAAAAAAAAAAAAGGAAATGATAATAAAACTGTCTTTAGTTAATTTCGTTAGGAGTTAATATACTATTTGTATAACTACTTTCATTTTTACCTCACTATAGGCAGGGACCAAAGATTGTTAGGTATTGATTTGATCCTGTTTTACTTGATATTTAAGATACCAGAGAGAACTTCCACTTCTTTTTTTTCCCCCTGTCTGAGACAGAGTCTCCCTCTATTACCCGAGCTGGAGTACAGTGGCAGGACCATAACCCATTGCAGCCTTGAATTCCTGAGCTCAAGCAATCCTCCTGCCACAGCTTCCCAAGTATTTGGGACTATAGGCATGCACCACCACACCAGCTAATTTTTAAATTTTTTTGTAGAGACAGAGTCTCCATATGCTGCACAGGGAACTCCTGCTCTCAAGGGATTCTCCCAATTTGGCCTCCCAAAGTACTAGGACTACAGGCATGATCCATCACATCTAGCCTGCAAGGGAACTTCTTGATGCTACCTAGAGCTTTGGTTCAAGTCCATCCTAAAGTGGATCTTATCAGTTTGTAGTTATTTCCTCTTCCTGAATGTGTAATTGAAATGGATATATATGGCAGCTAGCAGAACTCTCACATTATTCCTGACCTGTAGAGTAAGGGACATTATTATAGCAGGACCAAGGGGAAGCCTCTGAAATTCTCCTCTACTGACAACACAATGTATAAAAAATAATAACCACATTCCCTAAGGAATAAAATTGGTCACTGCCACAACAAAACACTCGGAAGTTACAGGAGATGGTAGTCCCTTCTATAACCCTATTCACTTAACCTATCTGGCCTCTACCAAAACCAGATGGATTAAAGAATGAATGCAGATTACCATAAACTTAAATCAACACTTACAAATGCTTTCCAGGATGTGCTATCTTCACCGAGCAGAGCATAGCTTCTGGTACTTTTAATGGGGTTCATGATTTGGTGAATGTTTCTTACCCACACCTATTTTGAGGGAAAATCAAAACAATTTGCCTTGTATGTATAATAGCACTGCTTCACTGTTTTATGTCAGGGATATGTCACTTCTGTGCTCAGTTTAATTTACATTTTGTAAAACATCGTGCTAATATATTAATAATATTACAGACCGGGCCCTGGAGGACATGACTGTAATCCCAGCACTGTAGAAGGCCAGCATGGGCAGATTGCTTGAGCCCAGGAGTTTAAGATCAGCCTGGCTAACATGGTGAAATGCCAGCCCTACAAAAAATACAAAAATTAGCCAGCCATGGTGGTGTGCCCCAGCAGTCCCAGCTGCTAGAAATGCCAAGGCAGGAGAATCACTTGAGCCCAGAAGGTGGAGGCTGCAATGAGCTGTGATCCTGCCACTACACTCCAGCCTCAGGGACAGAATGAGACCCTGTCTCAAAATAATAGCAATAATAATAATATATTCATTGGTGCAATAATCAGGAAGTGGCAAGTTTCTTAAATACAGTAAAATACTATAACACTGAATGGAAGTAAAAAACCAGAAGAAAAGAGATAAACCTGAGAAGATTCAGGGACCTACAACATAGGTGATATTTTAAGGCGTTCAGTGTCCCTAGGACACATGTAGAAACAACCTTTTTTAAAGTAAATGGCATGTTGCTTTCTCTATACATTTCCTTTCACTACAAAAGAGGCACAATTTTGGGGGGGCCTATTGAGATTTTGTAGCCAACATATTCCGCATTTGAGAATATTGCTCTGACTCATTAACAAAATTTCTAAAGGCTACTGGTCTCAAGTGGAACCCAGAACAAAAGGTGACTCTACGGCAGATACAGGCTCTGGTTCAAGCCGCTCTGGCCACTGTGCCAGATGATCCAGCAGAATTCAAGCCTCCCAGAGGCATGCACAGTGGGCACTATAGGATTCTATACACGTCTCTGACAAGCCTGTAGGAGCGGAGAGAAAATCCCTATGAAATTATTGCAAGACCATTCCCTCTTCAGCAGAGGAGTATCTTCCGTCTGAAAAAACAAAACAGCAAGTGTAGAACATTAATCCAAGCATAGAGACCCTCTAAGCACAAGCCCCTCTAAGCACAAAAACCTCTGCAACTGAGCAAGTCATATGCTCATAAAGCCAGTCATAACTGGAGGGCATGAGCACATCTGAGTGGCACAAGGAGTGGGTGGTATTGGGCAGAAATGTGCTTTCTCGGATTCCCTTCACTAGCACCTTGTCTGATCCAGATCATCTTTCCATTTAGGACTTGAATGGATCACCACACTGTAAGAATGAAGTCTGACTTTCATAACCTCCACCAAGGGACTGGATGATGTAAGACAAAACAGCAGAGATGGTAGTTCTGCCTCAGGAAAACTCTGGCCAATGGGCAATCAAAGAAAGAAGACAGCTGAGCAGATACATTCTCCCTCCTCTCACTTCTATGGACTAACGCTGGCTGTGGTTTCCCCTTGCAGACATTCTGGAAAAGTGCTGGGAGCCAAGTGCATGCATCTGATGACCACCATGCTGTCTCTCTCATCTCACTGTGAAGTGGCTGCCAGCAGAGTTAGATCATACATCACCACACATTGTTTCACATTTTTTATCTCAATTTCCACATGTCCCTGCTCTTTTTGTCTTAAACTTGCCTTCAAATAAACGTCATCACTTTAATATCAGGTATTACATAAAAAACATTTTAGTAAAGTAACTGGTTACTAGCTCATTGTTTCGAAATAAAATGCCGTTTTTGTTTATATAACAATCAATTAGAAAATATCAATACAAATATGTAATTCACAATAAAAATATATATACAAATAGACAAAAGTCTTTTATGTGCTTTTTAAAAATATTGTAATAGGTGCCTTCTAATTTTGATGTTCTACTTTGTCTCCAATTCAGACACCTGATGCAGCTGCATCAAGGCTATATTATTGTGATATTTCCCCCAAAATTGTAGCATAACCAAACCATTCCTCTGAGGAATGATCCTGTTTGGAAAAGTGTGTAACCTCCCCTGGAGACCAGAACAGGGGAATTCATGCAACTGTAGATTTTGTGATGAGTTTCCTTTTCATTGGTTTACCACATCAACTTACCCATTTTATCCACCCATTTATTTGTTCATTAAAATATCATTTTTGACTATCTATTCTTTGTGCTAGGTTCTAAGTCCTGGGAGTCAACAGAAAGCAAGACAGACATGGTTATCTTTTTTTTTACGGTGCTTACATTGTTCTGAGGAAGATATATAATTTTAAAAATACATAAATCAGGTGTGAGGATGATTTATCTTAAGCTTTAAATAACACTGTTAAAATTTCATAACATCAAGAATTAATAGTCATCTAGAATTTAGCTGTGAACAAGACTGTACATTTCTTTCTTACAATAGAATTTCCTATTAATGAATATGTTAACATACTTTCATTTCATCATTGACAACAAAATTATCACACTAAAGCACATCCTATAATTAATACATAGATTGTATAGATGCTATTTTAACATCTGCAAAAAGTTTCACTGAATTATTTTCCATAATTTCTATATTATTTTTACATTGACAGTTTTGTTTTGTTTGGTTTGGTTTTTAAGAAAAGGGAAGATTTGAGTTGTCTTATCTAAAGTTTAGAAGGAATTTTATAACTGGAAGATAAGACAATTCAGGGGCTTAGAAGTGCTTTAGAAAAAATACTAAAATAATTTACAACAGATCTCAACTTCAAAAAAAGCTTTTCTTTAGTTCAAAAGCCGGAAGAAATGACTTTTCTTACTGCATATGGAAACTGATCATAGCAATCAAGATCATGATCATGATTTTTCATCCCTATTATAAAAGAGATTTTTTTTCCTAAGCCATTTACATACGTGTGTTAAATCTGCTATTCCTCAGTAGTGTTTATGGTAGACAAAGACGAAATTCACTCTACATATGTTTGTCACCCGAACTTTATTGTGTGCATCGTTTTCTAACAATAATTCTGTTTGCTTTATACTAAACGTAAAATAGGAACTCATAATGAAATAAAACCCCAAGACATATCCTCATTATTGATTTAGAATTAAATGATCTTACCATCCAAAAAATTAGAGGTTCAAACAATGAATTCTAACCACACTGTGGTATATTTGTGTGGTTCAAATAACAATAGAAAAGAACAATATTTTTCCTGATATAAGCTGTTAGTTCTTAATAATTATGAATAGACAACATAAATTCTTCAAATGAAATATAAAATATATGTATGAAATACCCAAGGCTTCATAATTCTGAGGAATTTTTATCATATTTTGTATAATTTGGTAGTTTGTGTGAAAAAACAATCAAGAGTATGTTATTGTCGATGTTCTTAAGTTTTCATACACACATAAACACACACACACATACACGCTTTTTTAGATTAACTTTAGGTAAAAGACTTTTATAGGTATACATTTGAAATTATTCATATATATATATACACATTACACAAAAACCAGTAAGAAATATAAAATGTTTCATACACCACCAGTTTGTTTTCTGCTAGAAGATATACAACGCCCTCCTTGTGATTCTATGGAGATGAAGATTTCTGTCCTTTCACCCAGTACCTCACTTGCCACCAAACTGAAAGAAAAGTCTGCTTTAGCTTTTTGTTTCCCCAAATCAGGATGAATGGGTGGGCTGAAGGATAGCTGAATCTAATAGCTTGGCAGAACATCAAGACAGCTTTCTTTCCCGTATTCTCAAAATTCCAAACTGATATTATTACAGACAGAAAGTAAGCGGCACATAACAAGAGGAAGGAGATCACGGTTTGCAAAGCTTTTATGTGGACTTTGGTGCTGGGATCTTGACATCTTTTGCCATGGAGCTGCATCTTCTTGAGATGTTTACACAGAGAACAGATTAATAGCAGAAAACATATCAGGGTCAGAGTGAAGGGTACTAAGTTTGCTAGCAGGGTTATAGTCATATCTGACAGGCACAACGCATTCCTCAATTTGATCTTCCAAGTCATGTTTCCTTCATATTCTCTTGACCGTACAATCTCATTCATATTTACCGCAAAAAGCTGACAAATCAAAAGTAGCAAAGGCCCCAACATTACCACCCAAATGACACTCGTAACACTCCTCTTTAAGCGAAGAAAAATGAAGTTGGAGAAATTGACAATCTTGAGCAAATAAAATATGCTGAGGCTAGTAGCAAGCCAGTTGCTGAAATGGCTGGTTACTGCCCAGAAGCTGTAAGTAGTAATTCTGACTTCCACAGTCTTATAAAAAGCAGGATTCAGTACAGTTGAATACCAATGTAATAATAATATCCAGAGCAAACCAACTCTGGAGACTGCCAGAGCAGTAAGAATTTGGTCAGCAAATGAGATCTTTTGTCTCTTGACCCACTCAATGGAATTTACCAATGCTATGAAGCCATTAGCAAAATTTCCAATAACAAATGTAACCACTACTAGAATGGAAAAAATGATGGCTAGAAAACTTACCATATCTGAACAGACAAAAAGGAATTTTTTTAAAAGCTGGTGTAGTATCACTGATTGTGATTGCTTGAATATCCTGGCCTTAAATTCTATATGTACCTGATTTGTGAATGCGCTGTGACATTCTTTTTACTTTTAATTGCTGTGACCAGTGTCAAGCCAGAAATCACCATGGCATGCTAATGCATGAGTTCAATCCTCTCTTTATGGAAAACATTCTTATTTTCAAAACAACTCAAATTAACTCATTCATTCACTGTCTGTTCTTCTTGTTGGCTGGAATTATTCATACTGAAATTGACGGGAAACCTGAATTCTCATTTGCTAATATGTAAATAAGAATATATTCTCTTTTAGTGTTTGCAGTTTTTCCTTGTGTAACCTCTCCATCATTTGTCTTCAGTGACTTCAGTTGTTAGGGAAGTTTTATAACCCAATATATAGATCATATAGTAAATGCCTAAATTGTTAAAGGGAGTTTGGTCATAACTAAGATCATCATCAATATGGACTTTTTTTAAATACCAGATTTAAATACAAAGAATGCAAACTTCTTTTATCAAAAGCATCTAAGATTGTCTTGAGAACTACAGGCAGGCCAATACTCCTTAAGATCTGGTTGCTGCTAATAATTTTGCATAACTTCATTGTTCACAAGCTCATAAATACACACATATGCACACCACTTATGAATGGAACAAATTATTTTCTTGTAATTTCCAAAATTAAAAATGGGTTTCCAGGAAATTGTCCAGGTGAAATTTGTCCTATTTTCCACTCAGGGTTTTCATCCCATGAATACTATTTAGTTATCAAACATATCTCTAATTCTTAGGCCTTTGGTATAGTTTCTCTCAAGTCTAACATTTAAATATTTATTTAATTAAAATATTTAGCAATTTTATAAGTATTCCTGAGTACCAGACCCTTTGATATATAATCTTGCAGTATCCTCCCATCACAAGAAGACTGACTACCTTGCCCCTGAACTTAGAGTTCAATCATTTAACTCGTTTTGATAAACAGAATATTGCTACACTTTGCATAGAGATTTGAGATGGCTTCCATATAAGGGATTCTTCCTCTTTCCATTTACCATAAGACTATCGCCTGGCTAGTACACTGTTTACAGGAAAATGAGAAACTAGTGAAGTCAGACTGCCCCCTCCCGACCCTGCAATCCAGACTAAATTGGCCAAACTCTACCTCCAAGACGCAGAATTTTGCCTATCTCAAATCACCAGAGCCATCCACCAAACTCAGATTAGAAAAACAAAATCCAAAGACATGTGAGGTATAAATATCTAATACAGTTTTGGACGGTTTTCTCTTGCAGAAAAACATAACTAATAAATGAACTCTGCTAAACCAAGAATGTAGGGAATATGTACAAGCAAGTTGTGTCAGGAATTCAGGAGCCAAAAGAAAAAACAGACGGAAAATGGCAACGGTTTGTTCCTGTGAGGTGGATAATTAAGGCTAGAAGAAATCCTTTGGAAAGATCTGAGGTTGGCAGATAACAACATCGCAGATTTCCTCAACTTGCAACTAAATAAAAAAGTTCCTACTTCAGCTGTCTTAGAGTTGCATAAGAATGTATACACATAGTTGATTTTTCCCCTCAGTATATAATGAGATGAGTAATAATCATTTCTTTGAGACATTTCTAATTAAAAATTTTATATTAAAATTATAATGCACACTTAGAAATGAACCAAAACAAAAATGGAAAATACAGCAATGTATCATAAACACTCAAGTAACCATCATGCAGGGCAAGACAAGGAACACCAAAAACTGCCTATGTCCACCCCCATGCTACTTTCCAAGCCCCTAAAACTTTCTTCACATCTCCTAAGATAAGCAATATCCGTAATTTATCATGACGGTTTCCTTGATTTTCTTTATACTTTACCAACTAGTTATGCAACCCTAAAATACATAGCTTGGTCTGGCCTGCTTTGAACTGTATAGGTGCAATCCTACATGTTCTTTTTGTATGTGGATTCTTGGACTAAACATTATGTTTCTGAAATTTAATCACATAATTGCATGTACATGTGATTTTTTTCATGTCTCTATATTATTCCATTGTATGGATTTACTATAATGATTCATCCATCCTTAATATGTATTTGGCCAGCTTCTTTTTTGAACAGTTATGAATAATTCTACTAGAGCATTCTTTCATATATCATTTGATACAATTCCATTGTATATATATACACCTATGAGTAGAATTACAGGGTCTTTGTTCAAAATCTCATCATAGACACAGAAAAGTTCAAAGAATAATTTAACTAAATTTATCCCTGTCACCTTTACCTCCAGTCTATTTTTTGCCATTTGCATATATCTTATCAATTATGTAATTATCCCAATAAGATATTATTTTATACAGTAAACATTCATTTAGAAGTATGCACATATTTATCATTTTCATTAATTTGTATTCCTTATTGCATATTCAACTTAATATTTTCAATAATTTTTATTGGTCAGGCAGCGTAGCTCACACCCATAATCCCAACATTTTGTAAGGCTGGGGCAGGGGCATCCAGGAGTTCAAGACCAGCCTGTGTAACACAGCAAAACTGTCTCTACAATAAATAAAATGTTAGACAGACATAGTGAAGCTACTCACAAGGCTGATGTGGGAGGATGGTTTGAGCCCAGGAGTTCCAGACTGCAGTAAGTCATGATCATACCACTGAACTCCAGCCTGGACAACAGAGTGAGAATCCAACTCTACAAACAAAAATAATAACAATAATAATTTTTCTTTTAATTGAAAAAATATTGTTTCTGTTTATCAAGGTCTATTCTACTTTTGAAATACACTGAAGACATGATTCCATTCAACTCTAGCTTCATTTTTGTCTTTTACAAATCAGGTTGTCATTTAGACAGTTATTCCCTTTAACATAACCTATCTTTTCCTCTAGTTACTTTTCAGATTTTCTATTTGTCTTTGATGTCCTGTCATTTTATGTTAATTTTAGTTAACTCATTTGAAGTTTATTTCCAAAAATATATGAACCAATACATTTTATCACTTTTAGAAAAAACTCCATATTGTTTCTGTCCCATTTTCTCTCTTCTAATTTTCCAGAACTCCAGAAATATGTTGGATGTTCTGATTGTAGCCTCAATGTGTCTTACCCTCTAACCTTATATTTTCCATCTCTTGATCTCTTTATGCTTCATTCTGGGTAGTTATCTTCCAATTCACTAATTCTTTCTTCTCTTATGTTTAATGGTTGTTAACTCTGTCTATTGGATTCTCAATATTGATTACTTTGGTCTTATTGTTTTAGGGGTAGGGGTAGAAATAAACTTTTGTTCTCCTTCTATAAATCATTTTTTAATGGAGGAACTAAACAAACTATTCCTAACACCAAGTTCTTAAAAAAAAAAAAGAGCTTTTATAAATTTTTCATACACCTGACATGAAAATGGTAACGATTTTCTTCTTTTTGTAATAGTTTGGTCACAGAAGAGAATGAAAGCATGATCTAGGTATTCTCCTGAAAGTTGGAATAAACTGTAAATTGATTTGATGTGAGTAGCTTTTTTTGGATAGTAGCTTGTCTGTTGCTGGGTCATCACCACAAAGTCTCCTCACAGGGAAATTCAATGAGCAGCATTGCATCTCAAAATGTCATTGCAATTAATAATATATAGTACCTCAACCACAGCTCCACCTTTCTATTCCATCATTTAAATTTTACTGTTTTTATTAACAGAAATTATTAGCAGAAATCCGGACTTCTTAGTTTATAACAAACTTTAAAAGATCAAATAGTACAACAGTACTCACAAGTTTATCAAAAATGAAGGACATCTGCTATAAGTAGATTTTAAGTCCCAAGGAAACAAAACTGAATCCTGTGCCTCTAAGGCATTCCACCATTTATTCCCTATCCATGAATATAGTTTTAGTTATAGAACTATAACCTTCAAACTCCATCATCACTCACTGAAGTGTGACAGAAGATCTGAGGTCTTACCTCTGTTTGACACTTTGGTCCTAAAATTCTCTCTTTAGAAATAAAAGCTTGCTCATAAAATGTGTTATTTGCTTTATCCTTATTAAGAAGTTTTATTTACACTAAAATCTAAATTGTTTCTATAGTGATCACAGGGAAATGAGGATTAGTTTAAGGTCATCCATAAATAATTATTTCCTTAAGCAACATATTATAAATGAAACTACATTTAATTTCTCAATATAAATTATTGAGCTTGACTTGACCTTTGCCGTTTACCACTGTAACTTTCCCACAATTATGATCTTTTTAAAATTATCTGTTTTCCAAATTACGTATTTAAATATTTCAAAAATAAATCATTTAATGAGATAGATGTAGATATGATGATGATGATAGTAATAATGGCACATAAAAGGGAGGATGTTATTTGATAAATGTAATTTCAGTCTCGCTTCTTAAATACTAGAGTTCAGGGTGATGAGAAAACACTACTATTCTTCCTCATGGCCTCATGATTCCTATATTATTTTCAGCATCAGGCTTAGACAAATACCCTCATGTGGTATTTCATCAAGAATAATGTAAAACCAACATATTTTCAATGATTTATTTTTTTCTTTTACTACATTTTAAAAAATTATAGCAAAAGTGACCTCCAACAATTAGGTTTCTATTTTGGGCTTTTTGGGGCATTTTTCAATATGAACATGGACTAATGCTGTATGAAATAACACAATATATCAACTTTATTTCATGGTTTTTTTTTTTTTTTTTTTTTTTTTTTGAGACAGAGTTTCGCTCTTGTTACCCAGGCTGGAGTGCAATGGCGCTATCTCGGCTCACCGCAACCTCCGCCTCCTGGGCTCAGGCAATTCTCCTGCCTCAGCCTCCTGAGTAGCTGGGATTACAGGCACGTGCCACCATGCCCAGCTAATTTTTTTGTATTTTTAGTAGAGACGGGGTTTCACCATGTTGACCAGGATGGTCTCGATCTCTCGACCTTGTGATCCACCCGCCTCGGCCTCCCAAAGTGCTGGGATTACAGGCTTGAGCC